AACGAGAAAACAACTCCCGTTATGTCGATATAACGAGAAAATAAGTCGTTATAACGAGAAAACAAGAAGGGGAAAAAAAAAATTATGCATGGCCGCTTAGAACTTCCGTACAAAAGTTTTGGGTCAGTAAGATTTTGTTTTGAAATTAACAATTTTATTCAATTTATGCATTAATCAAAGAATCCTTGGAAAAAAAGGATCATGGTTTCCACAAAAATATTAAGCAGCAATACTTCTTTCTACATTGATGACATTGAAATGTTTCTTGAGCACCAAATCATATTTGAATGATTTCTGAAGGATCATGTGACAGACTGGAGTAATGGCTGCTGAAAATTCAGCTTTTCCATTTCAAAATACAGAAAACGGTTATTTTAAATTGAAATAATAGTTGATAATATTACTGTTTGACTGTAGTTTAAATCAAATAAATGTAACCTTGGTGAGCATAAGAGACTTCTTTCAAAAACGCTAAAAATCTTACGAACCCAAAAGTTTTAAAGGGTAGTGTAGCAGCCTACCTATTAATGACCCACTCATTGTTGAAATAGTAGGTAAAAAAAATATATGTAATCTTTTACACTATTACAGTGGTCCAAATAAGGCCTAAAATAATGATAATCACCACTGAGAATAATGAGGAAAAGTTACACATTACACTAATGAGAAGTGAAATTAAAATAACATCACAATGCCAAACAAATCTCAGTGAAAGGGATATAAAATCTATTTATCCTGACCTAACAACATGATTTCTAGCCTACATAAGTTTGTAAAACTGCTCACTCAGCTGAGACTTGCCGTATGAGTGGGTATTAAACTTAAATAATATAGAGTTTTTTGTGCGTTGCTGGCTAAGTGAAATCCGTGTCTCACCGGGGCTGTATGATATTATTTCCACTTCAGACACAAGTGGTTCAAGTCAGGCAAAGATTCTGAAAATAGTGTGCAGGCCAGGGGCAACATTACAGTATCACTGAATACAGAGAAGGAGGAATAAGGTTGAGATAAAGGGGAAAAAACAGAAGTGAAAGAAGGTGAAAGGGGTTTCTTTCATTTATAAACAGCCTTATTTCCAGCTGACGAGCAATATTCGACAGACGTCTGTGAGGAGAAATGATGCAAGAGCTTCTCTTCTGGACAAACCACTCAGTCATGCTCATACTCCAGATCGCTCTCACCTGGAGGGTTTGTCCAGGTTTCACCATGTTGAGCTCTGACAGACTGTGAAGAATGTCATTCATAGCTTGCTCACTGAGCTTCGTGGAATGTGACTCCATTCCAGTGACATCATCCATTCCGTGCTCCATGCCTGTCAGATGACGAGCTGTAAACAACAGCAGTATTTCAAGAATATGGTGCACACTTTAAGAAACCAGTTACACAACAATGCACTCCACAGATTTGATTTACTCTATTATGACATGTGTTTTAGGCATTAATGCTCTGACGCGATGGCATGGTCTCACCTTCAGGGCTGGGCTCTTCTCCAGACTGATCGCTCTGGCCGTCTGGCTGTTCATCTGCATCCTGCTCAGCGTGCTGCAGTCTCAGCTTATGGCACACCTCAAACGCCTGACCGACCGTCCGCACTATCCGCACGCCTTGACTCTGAGAGAGGAGAAAGTTAAAAGATTTCAGAGATTTAGAGAAATGTAGAATCTGATATACACATACAATATATGAATAATTATTTATTATAAACAATATCATTAGTGTATACAGTATGTATATATATATATATATATATATAAATGGCACTATATATTTATATATATATATATAATGAAAAAAGCAAAGGGCAAAGAATGACAGGAAGAGCAGAGAAAACGGAGACAAATACAGGTGCATCTCAATAAATTAGAATGTCGTGGAAAAGTTCATTTATTTCAGTAATTCAACTCAAATTGTGAAACTTGTGTAAGACTATCAACGTTAAGGCCCTCTACAAATTACATCACTTGCTCAAAGACAAGACGGACTTAAAAAAATGGCATGCATGATATTAATCCTTGGTCAGAGGCAAAGCTGCAGAGAGAAAGAGAGTAACACAAGACCAATATTTTTCCTTCTATGTGAAAGGAGACGGCTCTACCTTTTTTTTGGACTTGAATACATTGCATCTGAACAAGTTGCTGGATCCATCACGAACAATGTAGCTGAAAATCTTCAGATCCTGAGAATCATGGGATACATAGAAGATCCTTAGAGGAAACAGAAGAGAAAAAGGTAAACATAGGTGAAAAATTAAGACATTAGGTCAAAATACACTTTATTTAGTTCTGCATCTCACCTGTATATGGGGTCGTGCATAACCAGCATCTTGCTCTCATCCCACATCCACTCTTTCCGCTTGAGGTCAAAACAAGGCAAATGTCAGGGACTCTCATTATGAATGTGGACAAAAATATAAACTTCTGATTTCTAGTACTGTAATTCTGATACAGAATAATGATATTCATGTGTCAGAACTGATGACATCACACTTGCCTTGGGTTTCTTGCGCAGCACCACTTTGACTCCATCTACCGAGACCACTATGCTCACTTTCTTCTTCTTCACGCTCTTTGCCTTGAACTCATACTGCAAGGAAAAAGCAGAGTGATTTAAATGTGATTGGGTTATGAAAGGTTCATATTTTGGTTTTGGGAGTCCCCAACAACAGGTTGACATACATGCAAGGTGAAAAAACACTTTAATTGTCTTATAATATGCATTTATTTTTTCATTTGTTGCTTAACGACTCCCAAACGGTTCGCTCAACAATGAATTTTTCCAAACCCCTCCTTTGCGTGATGCTAAACTGCGGTGATAGGTCTGATGACCCAGTCTATTGTGATTGGTCTACTGCGTGCAGCGCATGTCAATAACGGAACGCCCATCACCATTACTTAGCCCACAGCTTGGTGGTAAACAACCAAACAGCCATGGTAAATGTGTTAGTCCAATGCAGAAATGTACTGATAAAGCACTGCAGTTTGTACACCAACGTATTGCTCTATTCTTTATCAGGACTCCAAGTAATAACAACGACAAACATTCACTATTCATTGACACATTTCTAGACAATTGCGAGCAAACAGATATTGCTGTTAGCCGGTTAGACGGAGACTTACAAGCTGCATGGAGCGAACACAACACACACAACTAAATACGTATTTTGCATGCTACAGTACAGAATACACGGCAGCAACAGTTTTTAAAATAATTACTCCACTTTCAGAATAAAATATTCCTGATAATTTACTCACCCCCATGTCATCCAATATGTTCATGTCTCTCTTTCTTCAGTCACAAAGAATTTAAGGTTTTTGAGGAAAACATTCCAGTATTTTTCTCCATATAGTGGACTTCAGTGGTGCTCAACGGAATGAAGGTTAAAAATGCAGTTTCAATGCAGCTTCAAAGGGCTGGGGGGGTTCAAGTTTTCCTGGGTCTGCAAGCGCAATAAGTGGGCGGGCATAAATATGCTAATATTTCATGTTGACGTCAACTTGAAACAGCTTAAGATTAGTTTTAAAAACGACTCGTTTTCATGACTTGGAGTCGGCTCTTTCTTTTGAAAGACAATAAGTTTATACACTTTTATGCACTTTTAGATTTAAAACTTTGCAGGGTGTTTTCATTCACTTAGAGCTGTGTTACACACTGCATGAAAGGTAATTTAAAAAAAATCCATAATAGGAGCACTTTAAGAGACGTTTTCAAAGACCAACCATAGAACCAAAACACAGCTGTCTATTCTAATGTTTTCCATTAAAAGATCAAACTAAACATCCAATGTCCAAAACTTTAAGATGCTAACTGAAGTACTAGGACCAATCCTAAATCAATTAGTACTCATTAGCACCTAAACTGCTAAATAATGAAAATAGATGAATCGACAATCAGTCTTGCCCTGAGAGCCTGATTTAAATTATAATGAAGTATTTACAATAAACAACAACTTTCTTAAAGAGCTGAAATTGATGTAGAAACATGCGACTGGTATCTGTTATTGTATGTAATTTATTCCTGTGATGGCAAAGCTGATTTTTTTAGCTTCCGTTACTGCTAAAGTGTTGACTGTCATTACAGTCTTCAGTGTCAAATGATCCTTGATGAATAAAAGTTCAAAAGAACAGTATTTATTTGACATAGAAATCTTTTGTAATATTATAAATGTTTTTTACTGTCACTTTTGATCCATTTAATGCATCCTTGGTTAATAACAGTATTCATTTATTGAAAAATTGTATCTCAAGTTTCCCACCTTGGCTTTTACTAGCATTTGACTCGCTCTCTCTTAACTCACTCTCATACATTTTAATGCCCTTTATACTTTGTTTACAATTACGTATTGCAAAAAAAAA